GAATAAATTCAATAACCAACAATTACTATTCTTAAAGAGTGCTCAACACAGAGTAGAAGCAGATATAATTATTTATTTAAAAATTATAACATAAATATATATTATATTATATATATAGCCATTTTGTTTCAATACCTCCGGTGTCTTATCAAGTGAAGTGTTGAAACAAAATGGCTATTTTTGTAGTGATTTTATAAGATATTTATGTTATAATTTTAAATAAATATGCTATATATATATATATATATATATATATATATAATTAAGTGAACATTGAAGTCAACACTCAGAGATGACAGGCTGTTTCATGCTAGACACAATTGTCAGGCCACGAATGATGGATTTTTCCTCGACTATTTATATATATGGGTCAGTGGTGCATTATGGCTAATCCATTCTGGCTGTTATGTTTGTGCAAATGGCTTGTTTGTTTATTTACTTGTTTGGGTTAATTTATTTTGTCTTATATTTTCATTTTGTATTATTTATTCTTTTTGGTTTTTGATGTTTTATTATTTAATAAAAAAAAAAAATATGCTTAGGTCACTTATTTAATAGTTTGTTTTGGTCTGGGAAGATAATTAAAGCTATTTATTCATCCAATGTTTAGATTGCTTGCTGTAGTCTATTCTGTTATTTCGGCCCCCGCCAAAATAACAGAATAGACTACGAAGGATTGATAATATTTGAGTCTGGTTAAGCTAGGGGTCATTACATTTCATGAAGATCTGCCATACATTATATGGCTCAAGACAAGCCATACATATGAGTGGTTCTTCATTTTTTAGTATATGCGAGTGGGTTATGTAGAGCTTGGTCATAAACACTTCCTCTTTTTATGTATATCCAAGGCTTGCTTGTTATTCTCAAATGGTGGATTGTGTTGGGTATTGTTTGTCATTTGCACAAGAGTTCCATAACACTTGCCACTTATTTTTTTTATAATCATTTCCTCTAAGCAAGGCAATAAAGCCACTAAGATGCAAGTCATTACTGAGTGTTAGAGAATATGAGAAGAAAAAAGACATTATTAAAGAGAGAGAACAAGAAAAGACAGGAGATAATGATTGACTTAGCATTTACATTTTTGAAGATCAAAGTTGGCTGGAACGCAAGAAACTGAAATAGTCTTGTTAAGTGAAAGAGGAAAATTTCAAGTGTAAAATGATGAGACCTAACTGCCAATCTAGTACTGTGCTTAAATTCATAAATTCTACATACCAAAACATAAAGTTCATCAGAACAATTACTACAAAATATTATAGAAAAGGTACAGGGAAGTGACTGAAGCCAAGATGCCAGATCAGGACCAATAATGTTGCATATTTTTCTTTGTATTCTATCAAGAATTTCCTAATATACAGAGCACAAATGCCAGACCAGATGTGGCTGTAATATTCAATGCATGGATGAATAGTAGACTTATAAATGCATCAATTAATATTTAACACTGCATCTTCCCCTTTTACTGTATATGGAATCCACTCAAAATATAGTCTTTTATATATTAGTTCTATATATTTGAAATTGCAGTAGCCTGGCTCTCAACTTCAATCAAGAGAGTTTTAGATGTTGTCATAGAAGGATATGACTACACAACCAAGAAATTCTAATTCAACTTGCATTGGCAGGTCTAACATTTTGCTTGGTGAAAATAGTCATCTACAGAGTGCTAAAAGTTTTAATGTATTTGTTTATAGTTGGTCTTAAGTCAGTTTATGGAATTTTTCTATTTGTAATTTGCATTTCTAAAGCTTCCTTCACTGTTGCAATTGCTTTATTTTCTCAACATGCACCAGGATGGCAATGGATCCAGCAGAAGATGATGTTTTTATTGTTTTCTTATAATGTTGATACTTTACAATAACTCGGCAGTTAGTGGTTTTGTTATTATTTTGCTTTTAACTGATGTGAGGACTGGCATAGTATCTGAGAAAATGATAAATTTATTTGTAATTATGATATCCATTCCTTCGGGACATAGGTGATCATGACTCTCCACAGATTCCTTTTTCTTAATATCTGTGAATTATCTGTCTATATTTCTGAGATGAGGTATTGTAATTATTTACATTGTTCAGACTGTTGTCTTTATTTACATTATCATATTCATAATGTTCCAGTCTTCTTCATGTGATTGGAATTTTGAATTGAACCCATTATTTCATTCACCGGGGTAGCTTGTACTAGTTCCACATGCCATGCCTTTTCCAGATGTCTTAGTATCCATTATCTCCCATACTGAGACATCCAGAAGAGGCATGGCATGTGGAACTAGAACGAACTACAACAATGGCCAAAATAAAGGGTTCAGTTGAAAATTCCAATCACCTGACAAAGACCATGGTATACAACAGTTGAAACCTTGTGAATATGGCAACGAAGAGGAGTAAATCCGAATAATGTAAATAGTGTAAATCTGGGAATTATAATGACTTTTTGGGAAAGATAGTAGAATGTTTTCTAGTTGCCTTGGTTCTGAATCCAGAGGTTTCCTTCTTCTAGACTGGTTGCCACCTAAGGCTAGAGATCCTAGTCTACCCTACTAGTTAACTATAAGAAAGTGAAGATAGATCCATGCCTTTCCCATTTGTGTGAAATTGAGTGCAACAGACTAGGCTGAAATTCAAACTCGGCTCACCAATTCTACTTATTTCACTGATAACAGGCGACCTGCAGATCCCTAACTGAAAATACATTTTTTTAAAGTAAATACTGACAACACTGCAATACTAAGAATACAGTCATTTAATAGTGGAGTGGGAAGCCGGATACGGATCCCCAGGTTGTGTCTGGCCCCTAGCTCCACCCCACATTTATATACTATAATGTAGATTGATTTGTTTTTTTATGGGTTATCAACCCTGTTCAGGTTTTAGAATGTACAAGAGAAGTGTTTTTATTACTTAAACATTATTTTTTATGGTTATCCATATTTGAGTAGATGCTCTGTTTATTTATTAAACAGTTTATTTATTTTTGTATACCAGCCTGAATATTCAAGAAATCTTATTAAAGAAAAAATATGCACCCTTTAGTAGGATTTCAGTTTGCGTCCCCATTAGCAGGGGAAACCATCATTAGATCTGATGTGCTTATACCGACTCAGTTACGGAGTGCATCACCAATCAAGCAAATTTGAATAGTGCCTCATAAACACAAATCTTTCCCAAACTCTCAAAACATTCATATCTGTTCAGTTTCATATCTTAATGTAAACAAAGCAATTTGTAAAGAAGTAATGGATTTTTTTTATATTTATTAATCCAACAGATTTTATTACTTAAGTAATATTTCTAGCAGATACCCATATTTGAGTAGACACTGTTTATTTATTAAACGATATATTCATTTATTTTGCTTAACAGCCTGAATATTCAAGAAATCTTATTAGTGAAAAATATTCACAGTAGGTGTCAAACCTGTGTTACCCTTGGCAGGAGAAACCATCGTTAGACACTATTCAACTTTACTTGATTGGTTACTCTCTCTGTAGCTGAGTCAGTATAAGCATGTCAGATCTGATGACAGTTTCTTCTGTCAAGTGGTATTATGGCTAGCTGCTTGTTTTCAAGTATGCCTGTCTGCTAGGGTGGTTGCCTGTCTGCTAGGGTGGTTGCCTGTCTGCTAGGGTGGTTGGCCAATCCCCATTGTGCAGATGCCTACTCAGGCACATTTGTGTTTGTTCAATACTTACAGCACCAACCTGTACTTGATGCAACTATGCTGATCAAATTTTAGATAGAATTTCTGGGAGAGAGCACATCATCTGATGAACAAGGCCAGTTAACACGAGCCCTCAGTCACAATGACTTGGGACTTCATGCTTGCACAAGCATCGAAGTTTCTGTCTACACAATTTCACCCAAAATGCTTAATTCAAGGATTTTTGCAATATGGTTTTCAGACACTTTCCAAAGGTATCGCACTGGGATCATCTCCCCTGGCTGATATTATCAAGACGACATTATTCCTGGCAATTTGACTATGGCAAGATTCAAACTTAGTTGTCAGGATCAGAAAGCAAACCTTCCAAACATTCAGCCATGCAACCATTGCAGGGTTTAAGCTATGAATATAAACAATGAGAAAATTTTGGGACTCCTGTTTCTTTATTGCAGGGTTTAAGCTATGAATATAAACAATGAGAAAATTTTGGGACTCCTGTTTCTTTGTTGCTTTCATTTAACTGGTCTTTCAATTTTATAACATTTTCTGCCTATACTTCCATGCATAATTTTTTACCAAATTACTAGTTTCGTAGATGGACCTGCCTGTCCACTCTTTCTCAATTAATTTTGATTATTCCCAAATTTATTTCCACACTATAAAAATTGTTATCATGCAAAAAAATTTGTTGCAAAATGTTTTCCTCTTGTCTTTTCATTTATTTTTGTCTTTTCTACAGATATACTCCATCTGAGAATATTTATATGTATTTATGTTCTCTTACTACAGTACAGAAACTTGTTTTATTTCCCCTTTGTTTGTCCCTTTTTTAGTTTAGATACTTTTTAGCTTGGAGCACCATTTTGACCACTTCAGATGAGCTCTTAGTATATCATGGGGAACTCCTCACAATAAATTTTATTTACTAATTATATAATTTTTATTTTTATTTTTTTCCTTATCTCCGAATAGGAGTAGATGGGTTCACCAGGTTTCATGAGATAATCTATGATCTAAATACCTAGACATTTCAGTTAACCTGTTGAATATTTATTAGCATCTTTAAACATTAAAATTTTAAGTAACTGTCAAATATATACTTGTTGCAAAATAAAATCATCCCATTTGCCTTGATAAAGTCCATCAGATGACAAAATGCAATGGATAAAAATTAAGTATATTTTTCCTTGTCTTTTGATTCATATAATTTAACACAGTATCATATACGGATAATAAGTGATAAGTTTGCCTCCTCTTAACACTTTCTCCAAATTATTCAACAATGACTCTTTCATTCTCTTCCTACCACTCTTTATCTAATATCTCCAACCATGACTTTCCTTCCTTCTCTTCCTGCTACTCTTTATCTAATATCTCCAACCATGACTTTCCTACCTTCTCTTCCTACCACTCTTTATCTAATATTTCCAACCATGACTTTCCTTCCTTCTCTTCCTACCACTCTTTCCCTTACACCTCCAATTATGATCTTCCCTCATATCTCTCCCTACCACTCTTTCCATAACTTCATCTTCACAAATCCAAGTTGCAATGTTAACACCATGGAGTCACTATTAACCAATACAGCTTGCATTAACACCTCCCTCCCAACCCATCATCCGTAATGATATCATGAGGAGGACTTTCAATCTGATTGATATTCCTTCCAAGCTGGAGACAGTTGGTTTGGACAGTAGAGACAGTAAAAGACCAGATAGCCTCACCATCTCTATCCATTCAAGTGGGGCATGTTCAGTTATTTAATACCTGCAAAAACTATTCTACAAATAGCAATTTGGTTGTGTCAACCACTTCCCAACTTTTGTCACCCAAAGGCACATGCACTTGTGGGCTTCTTTTCGGCTGTTCTGTTCGAATGTCCATTCCCCACAGCTGATTGATGAGTTGATCACTTCAATCCAAACCTTGCCTTATCCCGTGTTGTGTTTAGTTTTCATCATAATCATAGCAAAGATTGAATCGTAGTCCGGAATCGTCATATAAGGTTGGTCCAGGCAGAAAAAAACTAACTTGAATAAAAATAAATGCTTTTATATGCATTCTTTTGTACAGCGCTTGGTTAGTCTTGATGTTAGAATTTATCAATTCTTCATGCAGAAAATTATCAACCCAGAATGTGGCACTTCGGCTGGTTTGGTTAAGTCTGGCACAAGGCTTATTTTGGAGGTTCTCTTCAGGCAGACAGTCATGTTATATCAAGCAACACAGTTGTCTATTGCCTCAGTATCTGCAACAACTGTCTTGGACACTTTGATTCCTGGCATTTATTGACATTCACCTAAAACGAGCATGGGGCATGACGTGGTTAGGGGACACATGTTTCCCTTATCTTTCAACAAGAGCCCTTTTATTGTTGAACTCTGGAAAATTAATTACATTTCCAAAATCGGGAAGATTCCCTTTTCCTATGGTTAGCAGTCACAGGTATCAATCCGCCCCAATAATTTTCCTCCTCCTCCTCTTATTGGCATCTCACACCAACACTTCCCAATGGGTGTGGGCAATTCCTCTACCTTCCTTGATATTTCACCTGTGCCTGCCACCTTGGCTACCCTCCAATCTAGCTCCTGACCATTTGGTAGAATGGTCATTAATTAAAAAAATTATTTCAAATTTTGCTTATGCAAAATTTTCTCATCCTGGTCTTGTCCAAAATCAGATATATACCAGATGTTTTTGTCTCAGGCAGCTACTCCGAATACCCTAGATTACACAAAGAGACCTTATTTTGTATTTTTGCAACCAGGTCCAGCTAATGGTCTCATTAATCAATTGTCAACCTTAAAAATCACCACATGGCTTCATTGTGATGATAAAACTTTTCATAAGTAATTTTTCTGGTTTTAGAGAATTAAGTGTTTCTCTTTCGAAAAAGAGAAATCTTCCTTCTTTCTCTTGGTCTGTCTATTCATTAACCCTTCTCATCTTGTTCCGATCTATGTTTTTGAGTTAACCCTTTTCTTTTTATTTGCCAGTGCCAAATAGTGTCATACACTGTTTAAATATCATTCTTTCTCTTGTCAGCACCTACTGTTGTCAAGAAATCCAATGTTATTGGTCCTCAAGCAGCCAAATTGATTCAGTTCATATATAAAACTATGTGAAATCACCAAGCTGTTTCAGAGATTTTTCAATTGGAATTATGCATCCAGTGCATTTACAAGAGCCTATTGAGATTAGTTTAATTGTTATCATTAACATTTACTTTGTGAAAATATTATATACTTTGTTAAGTAAAAGAAAACTGTTCATCCACAAAACAAATCAAAGTTTCTATAGACCGTATATTATACTTTATTTTGGTAAGTAAAATATTTATTTTTAAACTTACTTTCCTTCTTTTTCTAGCACTCTTTCCCTGACTCCTCAACATATTTTCTTTCCTTCTCTTCCTAACCAGTGTTTACTCCACTTCTCTCTCCATATATTTCTTTCCTTCTCTTCCTCCCACTCTTTCCCTGACTCCTCAACATATTTTCTTTCCTTCTCTTCCTAACCAGTGTTTACTCCACTTCTCTCTCCATATATTTCTTTCCTTCTCTTCCTCCCTCTTTCCCTGACTCCTCAACATATTTTCTTTCCTTCTCTTCCCTTCAGTGTTTACTACACTTCTCTCTCCATATATTTCTTTCCTTCTCTTTCCCCTTTCCCCTGACTCCTCAACATATTTTCTTTCCTTCTCTTCCTAACCAGTGTTTACTCCACTTCTCTCTCCATATATTTCTTTCCTTCTCTTCCTCCCACTCTTTCCCTGACTCCTCAACATATTTTCTTTCCTTCTCTTCCTAACCAGTGTTTACTCCACTACTCTCTCCATATATTTCTTTCCTTCTCTTCCTCCCACTCTTTCCCTGACTCCTCAACATATTTTCTTTCCTTCTCTTCCTAACCAGTGTTTACTCCACTTCTCTCTCCATATATTTTTTCCTTCTCTTCCTCCCCTCTTTCCCTGACTCCTCAACATATTTTCTTTCCTTCTCTTCCTAACCAGTGTTTACTCCACTTCTCTCTCCATATATTTCTTTCCTTCTCTTCCTCCCACTCTTTCCCCTCAATATCTTTTCTTCTTTTTTTCCTACCATTCTTTCTCTCCATGAGTTTCCTTCTTTCTCTTCCTACACTCTTTCCCAAATTCCTCTACCCACTACTTTCTTTCCTTCTCTTCCTAACCAGTGTTTACTACACTTCTCCCTTTCATGTTTTTCCTTCTTTTTCTCCCTACCACTCATTCCCTCCACAAGTTTCCTTCCCTCTCTTCCTACCACTCTTTCTCCAGACTTCTCCATCCATTGCTTTCTTTCCTTCTCTTCCTACACCTATCCTTCACGACTTTCCTTCTCTTTCAACCACTGATTACCCTTCACATTTTTCTTTCCTTCTCTCCCTACAAATGTTTCTCCTCCAGGATTTCCCTCCCTTCTCTACCTACCACTCTTTCCCCCACTATGTCTTTCCTTCCTTCTCTACCTACCACTCTTTCCCCCACTATGTCTTTCCTTCCTTCTCTACCTACCCTTTTCCCCCACTATGTCTTTCCTTCCTTCTCTACCTACCCTCTTTTCCCCCACTATGTCTTTTCCTTCCTTCTCTACCTACCACTCTTTCCCCCACTATGTCTTTCCTTCCTTCTCTACCTACCACTCTTTCCCCCACTATGTCTTTCCTTCCTTCTCTACCTACCACTCTTTCCCCCACTATGTCTTTCCTTCCTTCTCTACCACCCTCTTTCCCCCCCCACTATGTCTTTCCTTCTTCTCTACCCTCTTTCCCCACTATGCCTGCCTTCTCTACCTACCTCTTTCCCCCACTATGTCTTTCCTGCCTTCTCTACCTACCACTCTTTCCCCCACTATGTCTTTCCTGCCTTCTCTACCTACCACTCTTTCCCCTCTATGTCTTTCCTGCCTTCTCCACTCTTTTTCCCCACTATGTCTTTCCTGCCTTCTCTACACCTGCAATCTTTCCCCCACTATGTCTTTCCTGCCTTCTCTACCTACCAATCTTTCCCCCACTATGTCTTTCCTGCCTTCTCTACCTACCAATCTTTCCCCCACTATGTCTTTCCTGCCTTCTCTCCTTACCACTCTTTTCCCTCTATGTCTTTCCTTCCTTCTCCTACTACCACTCTTTACCAGAATTCTCCATCTGCTTTTTTCCTCTCCCTTCTCTCCCTACCATTATTTTCCTTCCTTCTCTCCCTACCACTCTTTCCCCACTATGTCTTTCCTTCCTTCTCTCCCTACTACTCTTTCCCCTTGTGTCTTTCCTCCCTTCTCTCCCTACTACTCTTTCCCCTCCATGTCTTTCCTTCCTTCTCTCCCTACTACTCTTTCCCCTCCATGTCTTTCCTCCCTTCTCTCCCTACTACTCTTTCCCCTCCATGTCTTTCCTTCCTTCTCTCCCTACTACTCTTTCCCCTCCATGTCTTTCCTCCCTTCTCTCCCTACTACTCTTTCCCCTCCATGTCTTTCCTTCCTTCTCTTCCTACCACTCTTTACCAGACTTTTTCCCAACATAACATTCTGTCTTCTTTTCTTCCCATTCTTCCATCACACACCAATTGCTGATCTGCTGACCAATTTTAAGCATCAGGCAATCATCTCCATCATATTCCATCTCTTCTTCCAGTTAAAAATAAATCTAAGAAAAAAGTAACTATCCTTTCTTGAAAGAAAGGTGATAAATCTGACATAGTTCTCAACTTGAATAACTATTTAATAATGTCATGCAGACAACACAGCTACCACATTTCTGATGACTAAGCACATTCACTGCGGCAACCCTATTTCAACACAGACAAGCGCCAACCTTTGGCAATGGATGCCAACTTTGGCAATTTATTAAGATTTCTTGAATTTATATTAGCTTCAAGTGATTTGTCATCTGTTTGCAAGCTGAGACATGACACATTCTTTGTTTATTGTGACAGTCTAATGGACAGTTAAAGAAAAGATAAAATATTGAACATAGTTTGTGTTCTTGCAAATAAAAATAACAAATTTGGAACTTTTTGTCCAAAATTCATGCTTCATACAAGTCAGTAAACGTCACAACATAATGATATCTGCTATATAAGAGTCAACATCATTGTGCGCATGAAGGAAACAAAATGATGCCAAAGAAGTAGGTTGATTGATTTGTTTTTTGTTTGTTTTTTACAGCTTATCAACCCTTTGCATGTTATTTAAAAACAGAAAATAATTTTTTTAGATTGTAATTTTTTTTGAGTGGGAAAATAATGTTTTAGTAATACAAGCCTTCCTAATTAACCCATAGCTGGGGGGATAAATAGTGGATTCATACCATTCCCAAAAGTATTTACATGTAAGTGAATATAACAAACCCAATGAGAATTTGAACACTTTTTTTCTAATTAACAATTCAACGTCATTATCCAACACACCAACTGAACATCCTAGCTTACAGCACCTGATATTTCCAAGTGGTCAGTCATTTAGGTACTGACCAAGCTCTTCTTTAACTTCAGTGGTCATACTGGAACTGATGTTTCAACATGATATGGCCATAAGCTTGATGTAGTCTGCAATGTACAGGGTGCGATAGATAAATTGTCGCTATTTTATATTTTTAATCTTGTGCATGAATGTTGTTTGTTTTTATCAACTGCACAGTATATTTGGGTCAGTTGGGCATCATCTGTGAGAAAAAGAGCACCATGATACAATTCACCCCACCAGAAATTTGGAAACAGCATGCTGTACTCCTTCACATTTGCACTGGAAGCTACCATATTAACATTTTAAAGTTTTTGGGTGTCAATCTGAGGACAGTGCAGAGGACAATATTTACTGGTCTGAACCTCTGAGAAATTTCATAGAAAATATGCATCCTCTGACAGGAATCAATGAAATTTCTCAGACGTTCAGGCCAGTAAATATTGTTAATACTGTTTATTATAAACAGAACATTTACTTAAATATTTGTGTCTATTTAAATAACATATAACAATAAAATACATTAAAATAATTGTCGGACTTAGTCCATTTCATAGTGTATGACAATTTATTCATTGCACACTATATATATATACAAAACTAAGAAGTGAAGGAGTTACTTCTGTCTAGGTTTCTGTCTGAAATTCCAGCATGAGGAGTTATTATTGACACTATTTACATTTGGACTATTGTTCTCATCATCGTAGATATCGATCCAGATCACTATTTACATTATTTGGACTAGTGTCCTCATTTTTGTCGCCATGTTTATCACAACATTTCAGCTGTTGTATGCTCTGGCCTTCTTCAGTTGGTTGGAATGTCAAACTGAACCCTTTATTTTACTCACTGGGGTAGACTGTTCTAGTTCCATGTGCCATGTTTAATATATGTCAGTTATCTCCTGTTAATTCCCTTCTCAAAGTTCTCCACCACCATAACCAGGTATTGAACTCACACTCTTTAGGTCTTGTCACTGGATCTAACTAATGCCTTTATCCACTGTGCCATGTCCGAATAATGTAAATAGTGTACATAATACCTCATCTCAGAAATACAGACCAATCCAGATCAATATACACCTGACAAAGCTTGCATGGATACAACAGCTTAAACATTGTGATGGCAAAAGTGAAAATGAAGACACTAGTCTCTAAAAGAGTGTCTAGAATTAGAGAGCAGTCATTAATGTGAATGAAATAAGTCTACAGTTATCTGATCTATCAATAGTAGAGGCAGGTGAAAGAATCTCTCTACAAACTATTATGAGATGATCATTTTATTAAATGAAATAAGAGGCTATAGTGGTTCCATCTATCAGTAGTAGAGGAAGGTGCTGCTTCAATATACACTGTAGGCTATGTCAATGGTTAAAAAGTAAAAGAATTCTCTCTACAATCTGTTTTTTTTATGGTCACTGTATTAAAAGAAATAAGAGGCTATGGTGGCTCCATCTAGTAGTAGAGGGAGTTGCTGCTTCAGTATACACGGTCAGTCATATCAGTGGTTAAAAAGGAAAATAATTCTTTCTGCAATCTGTGTTTTGAGATGGTCAATGTATTAAATGAAATAAGAGGCTATGGTGGTTCCATTTATAAGTACTAGAGGGAGGGGCTGCTTAATATACACTGTTGTATGTGTCTGTGGTTAAATGTACAAACTCTATTTGATAACAAATGGTTGAAAAAAGGAAATTTCTGTAAGATGTTTTAAAATAGACTGGCTGAAATAAAAACAATGCAAAAGTCCAAAGATTTAGCCAAAAAATAATCTAAACTTACCCCAAACATTTTGGGGTCATTTTAGTCCATCTCACTCTACAATACCCTAAAGCTTACAGTCACATCACATTGACACACCAGTCTCCATATGATCACTGAAGTTAAGCAATGTTGAGCCAGGTCAGTACCAAGATGAGTGACAACTTGGAAATACCAGATGCTGTAAGCTGGGATGTGCAGATGGTGTAATGGATAATGGCGTAAATTTGTTAATCAGAGAATTGAATTCCAATTCCTGTTATGTTTGTTATATTCAATTACTCGCAAATACCTTTGGGAAAGGTATGAATCCACCTCTTCTCCCCAGCTATGGGTTAATTAGTAAGACTTGTAACTAAACTATTATTATCTCAAAAATAAATTCTTGCAATCTAAAAAGATTTTCTGGTATTAATCTGCAAGGATTGATAAGCCATAGAAATCAATCATTGTCTCTCTCTCTCTCCTTCTCTTCCAACTGGTTTCCAAAGATCAACTACAATTTCAGAGTGAGGGAAATACAGTAATATTAGTCATAACTTTCAGGCAGAATGAGCATGTGGCTTTGTCTCAATGTAGTTTAGTGAGTGACCTTTAAAACTTTCAACTCTATTCAATAACAAATGGTTGAAAAAGGAAAAGTCCTGCCGTGTATTTTAAAATAGACTGTTTAAAATATGAAACTATAAAATAAAAACAATGTAAGAGTCCAAAAACTCAGAGCCCAAAATTTGCCTAACACTACCCAAAAGATTTTAAATTCATTCATTTTACTCCATCCCACTCTACAATAATGAGGGGCGTTGGGAGCTTCCAAAACAAAAGAACAGTCATTTATTAATTTATTTTTCAATTGAAGAATGTTCAATCTTTACTTTGTAAGCATAGTCTGAACCAAAAGCCAGGAATTGTTGGCATTTCTCCAAAGACAGAAATTCCAAAGGGAAAAAAAAAAATAAAATAAAAAAAAGCAACAGTGGTTAATTTTTCCGTTTTCTTTTTTTCAGAAGCATAAATCAAATGTTGAATATTTGAGTGCATAGAGATAAGGAGGTGAGAGAGACGTTGGACAACTGCCAAGAAGACAAACTTTGAAATGAGACATCACTGACTCAAATGATGCAGTCTCCCTTCACTTGTATAGATTAATTAGTCTTGACACAAGAGGGGGAAAGGAAAAAAGGTTTACAGTACAATACACTGTGTGTAATATATATATATATATATATATATATATATATATATATATATATATATGTGTGTGTGTGTGTGTGTGTGTATGGGTACATGGCCGACTGGTTAGTCTAGAATGTTCACTTTCTGACCATGAGACCCAGTTTGAATCTCATCACAGTTGATTTGTCAGGAAGTAGAGTTCTTGATCTTATCGGTCTGGAAGGGGGTCGATCCCAGCCTGTAGTACCTTTAGAAAGTGCCTGAAAACCATACCACAGGTTGACCCAAGCCTTGTGAGTGAAATTGGGTAGACAGAACCCTTGGGAGCCCATCGATAGTTGTGCTAGCACAAAGTCACAAGTCATTGTGACCGAGAGTTTGAGTGTGCTGGCCTTGTTCGGATTGTTGATTACACTAGATAACACGCTCTCTCCCAGAAACTGCAACTAAGGTCTACTCAGCATAGTTGCAGTATAAACCACAGGTTGGCTCTGTGGGTGTTGAACAAACACAAATATGCCTGAGCAAACATCTACAATAGAGACTGGCTAGCCACCCTAATAGACAGGTATCCTTGGATATGAGTGGCTAGCTATTACTATTGTGTGTGTGTTATAGATAGATATGAAAATTCAGAAATAACTAAAAATATATCTGTAAAAGGTTAATATTAGTAAAGACAGAAAAAAAAACTTATCTTAGCCAACAAGTTTCATCCTCTGATGGACTCTATCGAGGCAAATGTAAGGATATTATTTTGCAACAAGTATTTATAAATAGGAGTAAAAACCTGAGTTTTTCAAAATTTTTCAGTTTAAGAATGCTCATAGATATACATCAGGTTAACAGAAAGTTGATAGTAAACTATGGAGGATGCTAAGTAACGTAATTTAATCTCTAATAAACGAAAGATCAATGTTTGCAAAAGACCCCAAAACCACACACAATTATGCCTACATTAATTGACAAAATCCAGAATACAATAAACAATAAGTTTAGATATGAAAGATTTAATCGCATCGTCTTGAATTGATTAGAATCTGACATTACAATGATAAGCCTGAAGATTGTGGTCAAGCATGAAACAGACCATTGCCACTTAGTGTTGACTTCAGTGTCCACTTTTATATATCTTAACATGTGTTACAATTACTTCTACAACAATAAAAAAAATTTGATACAAAACAAAATAATAAGCTGAAACTTGAAGGAGAAATTTACTCTATCATCTGTAATAATTGCCACAAGTAATACATAGGAGAAACATCAAGGAATTAAATAAAGGGTTATCAGAACACAAAGGGGTTCTTTTACAAAATAATACACTCGATGCATTAGTTGCTCACCGTAAGTAGTCTGACCATAATTTTGATTTAAAAAATGCTACACTAATTAAAATTAAAGAAATTGATTTAATTGCTAGATCATCCACAATAAATTTGCATCTATGTTCTTAAATTTCTTGGCAGGTCTTCTATTATCACAATGTGTAATGCTTAATAATAAAAGTGATAAAAACAAAAAGCATAAATAAACTAAATAAAACTAGCTAAACTATATACAAAGATACATATTTAAAAAAAAAAAAAAAATGTTAAATTTAAAAGTTTAAAATTTCAACATTTTCACTGCTTCCTATCTATGCATATTTCTAAGCAACGTTTCTATATAATCCCTTGCCTTCATACACATACAGCCTGATTAAAAAGTAACTCCCTATTTTATGTACAAGTAGCCAGTCAGTGGTCCTGATTTAACAGCCTTTGACTTTTTCTTTGGAGTTAGTTAAAGGAACACGTCTACTATACCAAACCAAAACTTTGGAAGAACTTGATGGGTGAATACAAGAAGTTATGTTTTCCATGCCACAAGAGTTCCTGGTGAAATCAGTTGATGCAATTCCTGAGAACCTAGTAGAAAAATCTGGTGCCCGTATCAGATTTTAAATAAAACCTCATGCTAAATGCTCTACTCTCATATCCATTTCTTGCAAAAATTATAATTAATAAATTATAAGTGTTTCAATCAGCCTGTATATAATGCTTTCTTTTTATGTGCCATGTCCTTTCAGGATGTAAGTGATCATGGCTCTCCACCTCTTTCTATCCCTTGCAGATCTCAATAAGTTCCTTCCTTCTGCTTCCTCCCCCAGACCACGTTCTGTCATCCACCTGCTCAAGCTCAGCGGGTATATCACATGCTGCTTCCTCTTGTCTCTCTTTCCCTCTATTTGCCTCATCAGTATCAGATTCTCCAGGCCCTCCTTCCTCATTATGAGTTCCAGGAACTTCAGCTGCCTCTTTCTGATGTTAAGTATAAGCCTTCTCCTTGTTTGTAATCTATCTAAGACCTCATCGTTGCTCACATATCAGTCCATGATATCCTTAACATCTCTGTCACCTTGAGTTTCTTCCTCATCTTTGAGGAAATCGGCCAACATTCGCTGGCGTAAAGAAGAACAGATGTCACATAACAGCTCAGTATTCTTTTCTTTGTTACCAAAGAAATCCTGCCATCTCGCAATACTCAGCTCAGTTTTTGGAATGTGTCCTTGGACATTAGTTTGATGAAGTACTGAAGGACAAAATGCATTACACAAAAAGTATTTTTTCCAATTTGGTCATTAATTCGACTAATGTCTATCAGAACAATGCGGTGCACACATGACTAACCTTAATAATCAGTTTCCTGCACGCTGATGTATGCAGTCATCAGGCGGCCAGCACTGGACTTTGGCAACGTGGACATTTGTACCTCTTCGTCTAATTCAAATTTTAACTGCTGAATACATGTAATGTATATACAGGGTGTCTCTAACATCTGGATATCTCATTAACCAAATATTTTTTACCTCCATAGATTAAGCATGTTTTTGCCAAAAGAAGAAAGAACTTCTTTTTCTGGGGTATGCTAAAGGTGTACTCAATGAAAATCACAGATGCAACACACTTGATTGAATGCATAAATATGCTAAAATTGACAGCAAGGTGGAGTTATTGCATAGAGTTCTTGCAAAGAGCATCAACCTTTGCATCACAAATGATGAAAATCATGTTGAAGATGTGAGTTGTTAATATTCCAATTCAATAAAATTTTGTTGAAAATTTAATTTCTTGAAAATATACATTTTTACCTGCATATCCAGACTTTAGGGGGAGATCATGTATAATGAAGTGAAATCACCACAGGGGAAATACTCATATGGTAGAGCATTTTATATGGTACACTTGGAAATTTATTCTTGGGCTTTGTGGGTTTCAGTTTTTTTTATCTTTTTCTCCTACAATAGCAGAGACTTTTTATTATATACATATATATATATATATATATATATGACATTTTTTATGTTAATACATTCTTTTTATAGATACAAATATTTAAGTATATGCTCTGTTTATAATAAACTGTATTAAACAACATTTACTGGCCTGAATGTCTGAGAAATCTTCATAGAAAATATGCATCCTCTGACAGGAATCGAACCTGTATCCTATACGGAACCATAATATAGCCTGACGTGCTTTACCGATTTAGCCACAAAGGAGTGTTTCGCTTAGAAAGGTCGATTTTACTGTTTTTAAACGACAATTCTCCATGATTTTCTCTCGTATATTCATATCTGCTCAATGTGTATCCAAATGTAAACAAATGATGTCCCACATGAAATGGACAAAGTTTGACAATTATTTTAAGACATTTTTTATGTTTATATGTTCTTTTTATAGATACAAATATTTAAGTAAATGCTCTGTTTATAATAAACAGTATTAACTATATATATATATATATCATTTCACCCAAGCAAGGCAACAGAGCCACTAACACACAAGAGGTTAGCGTGTGTGAAATAATATAAGAAAACATTATTAAATAGTGATAACAATAAAAAAACAGAAGGACAGAAGATAATGATTGACATTGCATTTAAATTTTTGAAGATCAAAGTTGACTGGGAAGCAAGAAGCCAGAAGAGAGTTCCACAAGCAAGAAGTGCAATAGAAGAAACTGTTAG